TTGTTTTTTTTTTTTTTTTTTTTTTTTTTTTTTTTTTTTTTTGAAAATTATTACACAAATGCGAAATTTAATAAGAAATTGCAATCGTGTTTTTATTTACATAGAAAATTGATTTTGTTTTAAATTTCAATAACAAATGGCTGCAACGACGACGATGATGATAATGATGAGGATTGTGATGATGATCGTTTCCTATGATGTTCATTGGTGAATATCCGTTTTATATTTGGTTGCATATGTGTGTGCAGAAAGCATGCGAACTTCCAGCAACGAACAAAAATGAATGACGATAACTTTCTACTTCAGTGATGATGGCGCAGCTGAACAAAATATTTTTGTTTTCAGTTTGTCTTCTTGTTTCTTTTTTTTTGTTTTTTTTTTCTTTCTTTCTTTTCTTTCTTTTCTATTACAATTGTGGAACAAGACACGCTTGCGCACATATTTAAACATTTACACATATGTACATATATAATTGCATAGTTTTACATCAGCAGCGAACATCGAGTGTACAGAGTTATATGTAAACATACATACATACAAGATGCAGTAAGTAGCAACGTTTGCAATATTTACGTCCGCGTCAAATGACGATTGGACCGAAATGCTTTGTTTGTGGCTTTTGCGCTTGTGTTAAGAAATGTTGACTTTTTTTTTTTTTTTTTTTTTTTTTTCTTAATATGTTACGGTTTATGCCGTTGACACTGTAACAATTAAACACGACCGAAATAAAAGAAAAAAAAAAAAAATGCGCAAAAGTTTTACATTTCACTTTTTTTAATGGCTATTGTAGCGGAATAATCATTTCTAAGCGTCTCGTCAACATTTTAAGTTGAACTTTTCGAAAGGAGGTGAATGAGTGGTTTTACCATTTTTAGTAATTATTCATATATATATATATACATAAATATAAATGTACACATAAACACGCAAACACAAACACACACACACACACACACACATACACACATACAAACACACGCTTAAATATTTAAAAACACGTACATGAACTTTTCTTTAAAAACGTTATCTTAAAACATTCTTTTCACAGCTTAACGTCCATTTCTTAGCCAAGATCACAACGAACTGTTGATTAGCGTTATATGTTCATATATAAAAAGCAAATATACATTAACTTCAGTTTAGATGGTCTGCTCTCTAAACAGGTCTTTCACTTACTTATTCGACTTACTTCTCTCGTATCTCGATCGCTCTTTTAAAATTATGTTAAATTAAAGAAATGAAAGAAAACCGTTAAAGAAAAATTAAATTTAATTTTATTATTATTTGTTTTCACTTACAGAGAAACCAAATAAATTTCATATCTATGTATATGTAAAGCTTGGGCCTTCATAAATATTGAAATAAATTACAAAATGAATATATATATATATATATATATATATCACATTCTATAAGGATATGAAATTAAAAATAATAATAATAATAATAATAATAATAATAATAAAGATAATAATAATGATATGTTGATAAAAGGAAAACAAGAAGAAAATAATTTATTTGCTAAGACCAACCCTCGTATTACCTGTATTTGAAACCACCACTATATATATCCATCTATACGCACTTCTATGGTTTTCCATTGACACATACATGCATATATATATATATTCGCACTTAAATGCTTTGAAAATATAAAAATTGTAATTTATTTATTATGGATTATTTGCGTGAAAAGGTTGTTGTGATTAGCGGTGCCAGCGCAGGAATAGGAGCCGCTTGTGTTAAAACCTTATTAACAGCTGGTATGATAGTTGTTGGTTTGGCTCGTAGGCATGAGTACATATTAAATATGAAAAAAGATTTATCGCCCGAATTAAGCAAACATCTTTTTGCTATACGCTGTGACGTTACGCAAGAACGACAAGTATCGAAGGCCTTCGATTGGACCAATGACAAATTGGGCGGATGTGATATACTTATAAATAATGCGGGTATAATCGCGAGTGCTCAACTTTCCGAAAAGAATAACACTCAACAAATCCGTGATACGATTGAAACTAATATTATGGGAGCAGTTTTTTGCATTCGCGAAGCCTTTCATTCTATGCGTATGCTTAAAAATGGTAACGGTCATATTGTTATTGTGAATAGCGTTGCAGGACACCAAGTGCCCAATTTAGGACCCGATTTGCCATCGCTTAACATATATCCAGCAACGAAATTTGCTTTGAAGGCAATGAATGAAATCTATCGTCAAGAATTTCAGCGAAATAAAACTCAAGTTCGTGTAACGGTCAGTATTATCAAAGTATTATTTTCTACATAGATAAAACATAGATAAATAAAATGATGCTTTCTCTCTTAAATGGATAGACTGTCAGTCCCGGAGTAGTCGATACCGATATACTGCCAATAGATATTCAAAATATTGTAAAACCCGTAATGCCAATGCTGCAAGCGGCAGACGTTGCCGACGCTATTTTATGGGCGTTAAGTAGACCAGCAAACGTACAGGTAATATTGTCTCTTATAAAACAAAACCAAAATCTCTATATCTAATTGTACCCATTACCGAAGGATTTTAGTGCAATAAAATAAAATATCATTTCTAAAGGTCGCCAAAATCTAAAAAACTATATACGCACATATGCACTAAGTTGAGGGAAATCTTCGCGTTATTTAGCTGAATAGATGGTGTCAGACTCATGTGACTTTTAAATAATTTACGAAAAAATATTATTTCAAAATAATTCGTCTTTCAAAATTTTGGCAAAATTTTGAAAAGAATTTGATTCATTGATCATCGCTGCATCGCTGTGATCAATCTTGATCGAACGATTGTTTACGCTCTTCACCATCTATAGCTAATGTGTTTAAAGCGGATAATTGATGTAAAGTGTCTAGAAGCTTCCTTAATGCATTTTCTCAGGTAAAATCCTAAAAAGTTCGACAATTTAATTTAAAACGTATTAAAAATGTTTTTGGGCTTTCATAAAGAAACGCCACAAACTTTTTCCCTGCTCTATTATTCTGACGAGTATTTATTCGAATGATTTCGAAAAGGGAAGGGAATCCAAGCTTCAAAAGGCAGATATGCAAAATAGCCTCCGGTAATATAATTTCGTTAATAGCCAATTGCCTATAGCTGATGTTTTCCTAAAAGTCGATAAAATCGTATATTAGGTCTTTGAAAATATTTTAAGCATTTTTACGTGAATGTCGTCGGTACTGGGTACCTAAGGAGCACTTATTTCTTTTTATTTCAAACAGGTTCATAATATCATCATTAAACCCATGGGGGAAAAATTCTAAAGAGAGGAAAGGAACAAAAACAAAAATTAACAAAATACAATAAATATAGTTTACATTGATATATATTTTGTTTATTTATTGTTACAGTATAAAGCGATCTCATAATCTTTGTTTGGCCTGTTATTACATACAAACTTAATTGTTTTATGTGTAGTTGTTAATAGCCCGAATAAATTTAAGAGATCATGCCTTTATTACGTTTAAACGCTGCTCCGGCTTTTCGATTATGATTAGCTCTTGTAGATTTTTGACTTTCTTTCTTTTGACGATTACGTAAAACTTCCTTGTCTTGTCCTTGACCTTTCGTGCCACCGACTACATCTCTATGATTCTGCATCTTTCGACTACCGCTTTTCTGAGACGATTTCATCCTGCAAGACATTTCATAGCGGGCCCTTACCTCTTCTGGATTTTCACAGAAATGCGCTAATTTTTCTCTTCCATCATTTTCGCCTGTTTCTATACGCTTCTCCTTAACCATTTCGTCGCAATCTTCACTATCACTCTCGTCTTCGGATTCGTCTGCAACGTCGGCTAAAACCTGTTTAAATTGCTTTGATTTGACGACGCGAGATTCACTTTCTAAAACAACTTCATAACTGTCATCATACTCGTCTTCGTATTCCTGCTCTTCAGTCGAGTCGCCTTCCGCGATTAAAGAATACTCACGGTAACGATCTCTTAACATGGCTATATCACTTTTGTCGTCCAGTAATTGAGCGACATTTTTCGGAGCGTTTGGAAATCCTTTACCTTTTTTAACAACACATTTTGGATCATCTTGAGTCAATATGTCGTATTTATCACCGTCGAATACATTATAATGCTTGACACCTATTTCTTGGGTAAGCTTATCTTGCAGATCAGGTGGTATATATACCTCTGAACGATTTAAGTCAAATAGATCAGGAGGTAAATTTTCTTCTAAAAGCGCAGCAATAGCTTCTTCGCCATTATCGTAACGGGTAAGAAGACGTCGTATAAAACCCGTGCCCAAATCAGGGAAGCAATCCAAAACCATAGCGACCTCGGACTCTATATCTCGTTGCTGAACAGGGTTGCTAACGGTAGGTACATTCGTTTTACCATTCAAGTAAATTTCTGCGCTTTTATTTTCAACATTCAACACATGTCCATTATCCTTTGATTGTTCTACGTTCGTTCGTTGATTAGATTTGAATGCCTCCACATTTCTTTCTCTTTGATATCCCTCAATTAAAAACGTTATCTTAAAACTGTCCCTGTAGAAAAAAATGATTTAAATCGTGAAAAGTTAAATATTTTAGATCTGGTACTCATACAGTTCATTACAAGCTTGCTTAAGAATCTCTACATCTAATGCAATCGGATAGAGTCTTTCGTAATCTACCACAAAAGCCTGCTCAGATAAACATTCAGTCAGTATTGCGATGAAATCTTCGCACGGCGCCAAACTGGATGCCCTACAAAAAAAAAAAAAAAAAAGAAATAAAAAATAAAAAAATAAAAAAACTTATGTCAAATAAATTGCAAATTGATTATCAGTTTCCGTACTTACGGATCTGTTAACACTGCTTCTACATGAAAGGAAATAATACTTCGGAATGCCCGTAAAAATTGTATGCGAGATTGGTTCAGCCAGGCCAAGCTTAAAGCGCTGGAATTTATGTTGTAAATGTTTTTATATAACTGCGGTAAAGTTGTATCGTAAAAACGTGCAATGTGCTGAGCGAAACCTTCTTCTCCATAAAGAGAACGCATTTCTGGGCATACTTCCAGTAAAACACTTATTGTGAAGGAGCAGTTCAAAGTATATAAAGTAACATCGTCAAAAGGTGTATCGGACATTTTATCTAATAAACCACCGCCCGCTCCTTCGAAACCCTCATTGTCAGTCTGCATTTGTATTGACCGAAATGCCGTTTCTAAAAACTTTAATGCAGTAATTAAATCTTGCTTATACTTTGGCTCTATTTTTAAAAGGCTTTCGAAAATTTTACGTAACAGCGTGACATTTTCTGATGCGGCATTCCCTACAGCAATTAATAAATCAAGTAACATCGGCACTGATATCAAATAGTTTTGATATACCAACTCGCGAAGATGATCTTTTTCAATCCAACACTCCGAAGATTCTTTGGACGTTAAAATGCGGAATATTATACGAACGACTAAATTCAGGATGTCTTCATGCAGTCGTTTAATGTTATCCGGAATACTCACTCCTAAAATATTTACATAAAAGGGGATACAGTTCTGCAAAAATGACACTACTGAAGCCAGAGCTGATTTTTGATGAACCATATATGACCAAAATCTAAAATTAAAAGAAAAATTAACATTACATTCAAAAAAGAAAATAATGATGCATTCTTCTTAAGAAGCAAGCTTAGCCTTGAAGTACAAAGAGATGAAATAAAAGGAAAAAATTAAATACTAGCCAGTGTCAGACATAAATATATATATATATAACAAATTTGCAATAATTCATAGTTTTCTATAATTTACTTACTCATGGTGTGCATGGCGCAAAAGAAATTCCATATCATCTTTGAAACTTTCGGCTTCGTATTGCCACTCTTCCAAGGCTGCGCCACGTTTAATTTGACCTCCAGAATCAATAAGGCCAGTAAAATGTGCAAACACTGAACGGGGTGCCCAAAATTTATCCTATTTGTAAAAAGTTTATTTAAATTTTTCAAAGAGTGCATGTTTATATAATCAAAAAAAAAAAAATTGGTGAGGAATGATAAAGTGCACGCAAGCTTATCAAAAATCTTAGTAGAATAGCAGTCCGGGTGGACTGAACATCGCTGGCTAAAATGTCTGCACTTCTTTAGACCGGATATACGAATTTTATAGCACATACCAAAGCGGGAACGCTGCGTTTGAATCCATCTCCGGCGACAGCAAAGCTCAGATACTTTAGCGATTTGTGATTTGGATTCTAGAAAATTTGTTTCAATTTGTTAATAAATAAAATATTCTAAAATAGATGCATGTATAAAATGCGAGCATTTTTCTTACCTTTACTGGCATTATTTGAAGCAAATTCAAATATTGTTATTCAAATATAACAAAAAGTTAAAATTTTAAGATATTTTTTTTTTTTTTTTTGGTATGTTGAACAGAGATGTGAATTTTAAGATACTACTCAACTTCGGTGACGAACACACAAGGAACAAATAAATCAAATGTCAATTTATTTAACAGCTGTTTACTTATTTATTTATTTATTTATTCTTCTTCTTTTAAAATTCAGCCAATCATCGACAGATGATTCACTGTAGCTCAGTAGAAAACGTTTAATGGAATGTAAACAAATAATTCAACCAATGACGGTCGCCTCCATGGAATGTAAACAAAAATTCCAACCTCTATCGAATTTAAAAAAAAAAAAAAAAAAAAACTAAAATTAATATTCTACAAATTTAATGCAATAAGCGCAGATATATATAAAATTTTATGAAGATTTAAATAAACAAAAATCTAATAAAGTAGTAACCGCAGCTATGATGGAAGACTTAAAACGTCTCAAATTGATATGAACCACAGCAGTAGTAAGTGAAAAAAAAAAAGATTATGTAGTTAATTTTCCAAATGTTACGCCCAGGACAAGGCGTCATATGTGTAGATAAGCAATGAATTGATTATCGTTTTAAGACTTCTTCTTTGTCCAAAAATTTGTCTTGATCCGTTAAGAATTTATTCACTACTACTTTTGCTACTTTTTGTTGTCAAATTACCAATTTAGCGACGACTTTGCAATTAGCAGAGGCTATGCAAATAGCAGAGAATTTAACGTTGGCTCTGCAATTAGCAGAGATTTTAGCTACTACTTTGCCATGCAAGTAGCTAAGCAGTTTAATTTGATAATAAAAATTATGGCGGTCTACTTTTAGGCTAACTTAACAGAAAACAAAGGTCCAACTCTGTTAAAATGCAAAGCCGTCGGCAAAAGGAAAAAGAATCGCAAACAATCAGGAAACCATTAAAAAGAATTATTATTATATTCTGCATGCAAAAAAAGTAAAAACATATTTCTTACTATTGACTTTTATAAAATCTTTTTATATACGCATTTTACGCAAGTATTAGTTAGTTAGTTATTAAGCGTATATTAATTTATATAAAAATTAACCGAAAAGACCAAGCTAATTTTCTGATCCTAATCCCCGTTCAATAAAGTTTTTAAGAGGAGTTTGGAAAACAAGAACACATACCGGTATTTCAAGAAATCAGCAAACGTTAAATGTCACAGATTATAATGTATGCTAGGACCCCATTAAACAATTCATCAAAATCACATGTGGAATAGAAAAACTAATTCAAAAACAATTAGTGGTTGCGTTATATTATTTGTGGACTAAGGTAGAAGATGGTATCATCAGGGTCGCCGTAGACCAAAAGCGCATGACATATTACTCATAAAGAACAACACACCCATCGTATAAGTTTTCACTTTTACTTTGAAAATGGAAAAAATAAACCGCGCCTACTCAATACTATGGAGTATGAATGTTGAGTTCTTTTCCTTTTTTTCAGTCTTTTTTAAAATAACGGTAATGAGTATGAAAGATTCAGTCACAACCGAACATAGTTCTTCTCCTTGTGCTCTTCTGTTTTAGTTCACATATTCTTTGGATCAATTAAGTTGAGGCTGTCTTTTGCCATTTATATAGAAAAAAACAATGGCTTCAGTATGCCAAGTCAAATCTATGTAGAAGATGAATCGAACAAAAAATTCCAAATCACGGCAGAAGCGTTCCGATTTATATGTAACTTAAAACTGTATTTTAATATTGAAATGTAATTTAAAAACTAGATGAATAAACTATAAATTTAGAAATAGTAAAAATAATGTTAAAAATAAATAAATAATGGAGTACAGGTGTGAGTGGTCTTGCATTTACAACAACAAAACAGATGCAATCTTACTTTTACGGCAATACCCACATATGGTACGAGATTTACAGCAACAACCACATATAACATATGTCGCTTGCCGTGCAATAAGAGATGTGATAAAATCTTTCGAGTAGCATGCTATTTTAAGTCGATTCAGTTGTTATACGCATCAAAGCATTTATATTAGCATGAGATATTAAGCTAATTCAATCGTTGTTTTATTTGCCTGTTTGTTATTTTTATTTCCAAATTTTTTGTTGTCCTTCTTATACGAAACTCTATATACATGATTTCAACTTTAAACCGTTCTAAATGAATTATAGAAAATGTAAATATGTTGACAAAGTACATAACGGTATTATCGTTATAGTCAAGAGACGTTAAACGATTTGAAGCATACACCAGAATCATTCCGCATATATATGTTAATGGTGAATAGTGGATTTGGAAAGATTTGTTTCGGTTATAGTTTTGAATAAAAAAAAAAAAAAAAAATGGGAATAAAATATATTTTTATAAAAGGAAATAAGTGAAAAGAGAATATTTAAAAAAAAAAAAGATTATCTTTGTACGCATATAATGCAAATATAAATTTTCCTTATTTCATCAACTATGTAAGATTAAGCAAAACCCAGAAACCAATCTTCACATGTTTATAATCACCGGAAAAAAAAAACGGTTTTTTGATCATATGAAACCAGCATGAAACCATTTAGAGTAAAGCATAAAACGCGATCAATATTGAAGAGTTGTCAATACCGACGAGTGCTGATATTATGGTGCGTTATTCCTATTGTCGGTGTAGATTTTCAACTTTGCCGACTTTTTAAAAATTTTTGGGGGTTTTAGCAATTCATATGATTTTGGACCTATACAAATAAACAAAAACGTAAAGAGGTAATAAAAACAATACACATTTGTTTCAAATTTATATTATTTTCTATTTATTATATTTTATAAGAAAGAAAAAGAAAAAGACGCAGTATAGGCAATCTAGTTTCAATTTAAAATATATTTGCCAAATCAAAGCCTTCAAGCAATTCTTTTGCGTGACTTAACTGCAAAAGTAAAGTCCAGTGCAGTGCTTTGTCTTTCAAACACATTTTCTTAATTTTTCATTTCAATAATTTATTTTATCGATGTTTTCTATACTTTCGTTGTTTACATTTATGTTGATTTCTTCATTTTTACCTCTGAAAACATATGCTTTTATGTTCGATTTACTTATCAAGGAGTATCATAAAAGTGCTTCTCATTATGTTAACCGTTTGAGACTAGTCTACCCGAAAAACGAAATAGCGCATTATTGTGTTAGGCCCCGTAACGATTTAATAGTATACGGTATATAACGAGTAAGGCTTCTTGATTAATTGATGATGAACGCAAAATTTTTAATTAACTTATTACGCTAATGCGACGCTTTTTTACACATCGCAGCGAATTTTCGGTTGTTAATTTGCTGAATAACAGAAAAAGAAGAAGATTTTTATAATTCTTTAATGTGAAACGAAAATAACTTGCATTCGCTATCTAATTTTTGGTTTTTTTTTTTTTTTTGCGTACGTATAGACTTTATGTATACCATGCCGCACATTTGCAAGAAAACACAAAATTACATATAATATTGCATTTTAAACCTTTGATATAACGTGACGTCATATCAAGAAACCATTAACAGAAATCTTGCTAATAAAAGTGACGGGAATAAAAAAGCAAGAAGTTAAATGGATGCTAATTAGTAGCGCTACTACCGTTATTGATAACAGAAACACCAAAAGTCTCCAAAATGTGAGAAATTTTGAGAAATATTTTAAGCGTTCTTGCCCTTTAATATGCTCTAATACTATACAAAGCCGTAGATGTATTAAAGCAACAGATGAAGCGGTGTTACATTCAAGCGATCGTATTGACTGCTCTCCTATTGTTACTACTTGGAAAATTCTATTAATAGTTTGAAATGGTTCTTTCTAGCCGAAGTACAACTCAGGACTTTCCAGAAGGCCCATTCCCAAAAAAAAAAAAAGAAGAAAATATATAGGTAAACGCACTTGGACTTTCGTTTTCCTTTTCTAGAAATATTGGTTTACAATCGACGCAATATTTTTGTTATTTTAGGGGCGCAAGACACCAGCACAGCGACATGATGAAATCTCGGATTGCTTCTATCAATTCAATTCGCCTGCGGTCACTATTTCACTTTTCAAAGTTCTCCTATTATACGTCGCCTGTTACGATTCTAAAAACAAACACATTACGTTATGGGAGATAACTCTATGAACCGGCGGAACCAGCTGTTAATTCCTAAGTCTCTAGCCAGTCAACTCTGCTACGGTTATCTCTCCATCCCCAAGGCGTGTAGTCAACTCATGTTTTGTCTTATGAATCATGAAATTTACCTCCTTGAGCTCGTCGTAACACAACTGAAACAAACAAAGTCTTTGTTGCGCTCTAGGCTTTTATCGTTGCAGCCGCCATTACTGGGTCGTTACGATATGCGTATTGCGTACGGCTATGTTGATGCTCGTTACTAGACTTATGCGCATGCATAAATTGTCCTATTCGTCTGTCAATATTTTGATGCGTAATAAGAATAACATGTGGCTATGCTTATCAATTGTTTTATGCGTATGTGTAGATTATTCCAATATATATGTACGTATATTATGTATTTACAATGAGTTTGTAAGAAGTGTACATAGATTTATATATCATAGATGTATTATATAAGACCAGAGACAATGAAATATAAATATGTTTCAACATTTTGTTCAAAATTGGGATTAGGAGAATTTCAGATACTTTTTGTGTGCCCATTATAAATGACAGTAGTAATGCTGTTCATTAGCAGTCATTTGTATGCTTTGTCTTTCATTCTCGTTATATGTATGGGCACGAATTCTGTTAACAGTTTCTTGATGTCTTCATGTCGCACTCTTTCAAACGTTTGCAAAGCAGAAACATATACAATTCCGTGCTTTTAAGTGATTATGAATTATGATATGCATAGAGGTGTGTATGTACGAAAAAGTTCAAATAGCAGGTAAATATGCAACAAGCGTAATTTGCTTTCTTTTCATCGTTTATTTTGAAGAATTGTATAATTTTGAATTTTATTTCAATGAAAATTCTCATATCAAGCGATATGAACGAGTTTTTTTTTATATTTATTATATTTATCTAAATAACTTATTTTGTTTATATATTTATTAATTACATATATATATGACA